GGCCTTGTTGATAAGACAAATGCGATACATATTCGCGCTTTAGTAACAAGATAATGCAGAATAAATGTGTATCTATTGTAAGCGATTCCGGAAGGCAGCAGGGCCACCACTAAAGAACTGAAAACAGACCCAAATGTGCTCACGACCTTACTGCAAGTGGTTTGAAAGGAAAGAAAGGTATCTGCCGACTGGAAATAAGATTACCCTGTCAAGATACGTCTCACCGTGCAAGAACTGGTTTTGAATCATGTTTTAGTTCATGCTAAATAAAACGCTGAGTCGTCTCATCTTGGATAGAATGAAAGATGCACTGGGTGCACATTTCCGCCTTTCACTAGAACAAATTTGGTTCAGGAAAGGCAAATTGTGTGTTGATCAAATTGCCACTCTACGCATAATCATGAAACAAAGCATAGAATGTCAGTCAAACTCCTCCCTACCTTAATTTCATCGAGTGAGTAAAGACATTTCAGTTCAACATAATCAATCACAGGGGAAATGCAAAATTAACCTAATTTTTTTTTCAAGTTGAAATGGAAAGCTGTTACTAGAAAATTAAAATGATATTTATAAGTTGTTTTTATTAAGTTCTCCCGCTTTTACTTAATTTTAAATTATATATCATAAAGTTATGTGATATAAATTAAACTTTTTCATCATGTAGATTTGTTAGACTAGCTTGCGTTTCTATTGTATTAAACACCCTGAAATTAGTGTTAATTATATGTATGTATTTTTTATTTAACCGCTATAGAGTTTCCCGGGAAATTTTTATTTGAGTATGTTTGACGTTATGCGAAAACTACTACCCCTGACGAGATCTTGACCACATTTCTTCTACTTTGATATGACTGTCACCAAGCATCATCCACGACAATATTACTAAACGTTTTATGTGCTTTGAAGTTTCTGTAGTCATTGGGTTGATTTCCCGGGGCAGCGGGGGGGGGAGTTCCTTAGCCCAGCTAATAAACGTCCACTTTTTCCCGAGCTTAGAACTAACCAACTAGCTAGCAGACTGATGCGCTACGAAACTAGGTGGAGAAATTGATGAAGGATCAGACACATACGCTGATATGACTGCTGACTGACTTCACGTGACATGAAAATCCTCAAAGGGAACCTCAAATGGGGACGATTAGTTAAGTTTCATTTCAAGGATGACATTGAGGAGATAGTGTGAGATGAAGATGAAAGCTGGCGGTCACTCGAAGTGGTAGCTAAAGAGGACTGAAGGGAACACGATGAAATGGTGATATGCTGTTGAAGCCCTAAGCTCCAAGGAATAGTAAAAATAACCTTATTAAATTAAATGATTTATATTTTAATCTAGAAGTTATGAAATTATTAAATTCTATAAGCCTAATAAAGTTAGCAATTGCGTGGTTGTTGAAATGTTAGAAGTGTAGTTTTTAGAAATTATGAAAAATGGTAAAACAAATCACACTTGACAACAACAATATCAAATCCTCCATATAATAAAACAAAATCCCTAGAAAACCAACACTTGAAAATTGATCTGATGCGACTGGCCCTATTCAGGCAGGTAGGTACCTAGGGCTCTAGTGGGAAGCCGTGATCAATAGGATGCAGTAGGTTGAGTGTGAGGCAGTAACTCATCGAAGAAGACATTGCGAAGTGGTTGCTCTATGTAACGAATTAGCAGAAGTTAGAATTCATGCACTGGCTGGACATTAGATCCGGTTCTAGTGGAGTAATAGTCTGCGAACTGGTCTTATAACCAGAAGGTTCTGTGCTCGAACCCTGAAGGTGGATGCATACAACTGAAAAGCCAAAAAATAGGATGAAATAGCTGTCTGGCAGTACTCCCAAGTTTTCCAGTGGTCCTCTAACTGATATCACCTCATGATGAAATGCTCCATCCATTGTAAATTGATTTATTTATCACAGTTTGTTGTTTATCTGTTGCTCAATTTCCAAATTCACCAAACTCAATGACACCTCTAACACAGCCTTTTAAATGTGATGAAATGTTTTCAAAATTATTCGGGAAAAAAACACATCGTGTATACATTTCCAAGTATTTTTTAGCACATTTATAAACTTGAATAAAGCATTAAGAAGACAAATTTCGCGAGATGATATCATTTCGTAGTTTCTTTACAACCGCTTTACAACTAACATGGTTAACATTTATAAACTGTATTTCTTTTCACAAACTTCTCCTCTATAAGTACTGTGTCATCACTATTAATATTGTCCGCTTTAGTTCTTAGAGGAAAATAGCGCTTAAGCCGCTCGTTTCCATAGCGTTCAGTTTTCCACCAGAGTTTTCACCTAGCTCCACGTCTGTCCACATGTTTTATTTTATTTTGCGACCAACTCATCACTTTCCATTCGGGTTCCACTCAACCGATATCCTGGCGTGTGATGTCACTTGATGAATATGACCAATCCAGCTGCATTTCTTCCTGCATATGTGATGCACGATCGGTTCCTGGTTGTGTATTATGTCAACTGCCAGCAAATTATTTTTTTTTCGATTATGGGCAACAGTGATGTTCTATTTAGCTTTACTGAAATTCTATCCACGTACTTTTATTTTTCCATGGATTTTTGGTGACAGAATATAGTAATCAATGATCGATGTGTTGTTCACGTAATCAGTTTGTTAGTAGGTTCTAAAGTGAAGTTATTCTGCACAGTGCTAAGCAGTCAATATATGTATATATATGCATATATAGATGAAACTGTCTAAATACTAGTTCAAATATGATCTAATGGTTTTCAGAAAAAAGACTTAATGATGTGTTCGACATATCTATCTAATCTACCACAAAGTTTTAAGGTTGCTTATATCCATATATATTATTTATGTGAACTGTTGATTTTATCGTCACTTCATTGGATATTGACATGTCGGGACAAAGTTAAACTTTAAGCACCACTAACTACCAATGGAGTGCGACCACGCCAATGACCTTGAAACGCCCACTGAGCAAGTTAGTAAAACGCAGCAAGTAATCTTGTCGTCATCAATAAAATATGCTCATCGGAGTGTTATGCTATTTTTATTAAATGGGATATCTGGCAAGTTTAAGCTTAGGTTTGGGAAAGATTAAGTTATGCTTTAAGCCAAGGACAAGTTAGGGTTAGGTTAACCGACATTAAGGTTGGTTCGAGTTAGATTACAGTTAGTTAAAAGAGAGAGAGTTAGGGTTAGGTTCAGGCGAGATTAGGGTTATTGGTAAGGTTAGAAGACCTATATAATCACATACATGGAATGTGGTTAAATTACTCTGTTGATATCAGAATAGTACTTGTGCACTGTGGCGGTAGAGTATAATTCCATTATGCGTAACATTTATTTTGATAAATTCTCACACTGTTATACAGTAATATTTACTAATGACCACGTTTTGAGGAAATGTTATTGCCCAGTGAACATTACTGTATTACACTATGAAACTTTATCAAAATAAATTTCACCCACAATGCTGATGCACCAAACTAAAACTGGGAGGTATTTTTATCACATTTGGGAGCAAGGTATCCTCTGTAACACTTTTCTATTGTTTTTTTTTTGCATTTTTTCCATAAGTATATATGTATTCCATACACAAAACTGCCTCCTTCACGTGATTGGTGAGTTTGAGGTCATTCGCTGACTGGTAGGCAGTTAGTGGTGCTTAAAGTTTAACTTTGCCCATGTCGGCTACTGGTAAGTGACCCATGTAGTTTACTGGATAATGCTTTGTAGTTTGAAACGATGGGTTCTGCCTTTCAGTCTCTTTAGTTTAAACAGTATCATTCACTGGGGAATGCAGATACATCCAAATGACGAGTCTCGGTTAGGACGAAACAGGCATCAAAAACTGTTTTCCATTTCTAGTCATTATTAACCAAATTACTTGACTGATATACAGAGTGTGAGAGAACGAAGAAGAATGTTTTAAATAGAGTTTGTAAGGAAGAAAGAAACAAAACGTGCACATAACAAAAAAGAGAAAAGGAAAAGAAAGAAACAAAACGTGGTACCTATAAATCATATTAGTTGGAAAGACGAGATCCAGTTGCTCTTCTGACTAATGCTTTCTTTATCGCACAGAACATGAGCTAAGTAGAGTATGGTTGATTTGTGTTTTTGTACTTTCTAGTGCGAGCATATAGTTTCCCATATAGGCTTCTGGTCCTGCCTGGTGAGATAGATACAAGGAGAGAGTAATGAATGAAGAGGGTGGTGTGAGTTAGATAGAATGAATTGATTCAGCCCATTTTTCATATTAGTCCATGTGCCTGTCAACCAGAATATTAACAAGCTGGTTAAGTGGTACGTTGCTTACCCTGCTGATAACCTTCAACATCCTGCGTAATAAGGTATAGTCTTTCTTCAGTAGCCAGCCCTGGAAAAACTAAGGAGGGACAATAGAGAATAATAGGCAGAGTAGAGCAGTAAAGGTTGGGTTATTCCAGAATGTCTTAACTTCTTGATGTTGAAGGTAAGACGGAATATTTTCTTAGAAATCATCAAGGTATGGTGAGACGACCAGGAAAGATCAGCAGATAGAATGACTCCAAGGTATTTAATTTCTGACTTGTTCTCTATTTCAGTGTCATCTATGTTGCACACCTCGTGAGTTCTAACCAGTTTGTTTAGGTCAGATTTATTCCTAAAAGTGAAACTGACTCTTTGGCATTTGGAGTGGTTTAAGGTGAGATCGTTTTCCTTGAACCACAGTCTGACTTCTGATAAAAAACCGTTTAGTTTAGATCAGTCACTTTGACATTTGATAGGCAAAGATACGGTCAGATCGTCAGCATATTTAACAAAATTAATGTCATTTGAAGATGGCAAGTCATGTAGAAAGAAAGAAAAGAGAAGTAGTGAGAGTACAGCACCTTGGGGGTGAGGGACACCAGCTTCAGTGAGTAGTATAGCAGAGGAGGAGCTTTTATTTTTGTATTAAAGAAATTTTTAAAGAAATTCTTGTAACCTCATGTTTCGTTGTCTCCTTTTTCTTCTTCGTCTTCAACTCTAGGTAACGTCGGTATGGCTAACCGTAGCATTTGCTGCAGATCGTTATTTAATGATTTGTCATCCATTTTGGGCTAAACGTTGGTGTACAATAAAACTTGCTAAAATTGTAATTATTATTATTTATGTGTTCAGTGTAATCTATAGCATTCCACGGTATTTTGAATATCAAATATTTGAGGTACAACTACCTATGAATGCAATAGATTGGAATTTACATGACAATAATAATAATAACGATAATAATGCTGTTCAAATTGATGAGAATTTAAGAAATACAAATGTTGTCTTTGTACAGAATTTATCTACTTCATTTAATACTACTTCTTCTGCGTCTACTGCTCCTCTTTCTCATATCTCGCCTGACATGAATATCACTAGCCTTTATGGGGATTTCAGTTATTCTATGAAAACTATACCTGTCATCTGGTATCGATTATCAGAATTTGGTCAGTCGGAACAATTTCGCAAGGTTTATCATTTATGGTCATGGGTGCTATTAGTTGTCGGTATACCATTTGTATCTATTGCTATCATGAACACATTTCTAATATTAGAAGTACGCAAGTCTAGTCGAAAGTGTGTTGATCAGTTGAAGAAGCGAGAATTTCGACGACAGGATACAAATATTATGCTTATAGGTGTAATTGTTATATTTTTTATATGTCAGGTAAGTATTAAATATTACCTATTTTTTATATTATTTTTATTCATTATAATAAAGCTTCTTTTTGGTATGTATGTCCCAATGAATGAATGAAAAACAAAACTATATTGTTGTATTTACTGACGTTTCGCTATTTAATGCTGCTGATAAATAGCCTTATCAAAGTAGTGATATTAAACCAGAATTTACAAAATCTCACCTTATATACAACAACTTAATCATCGATCATCAGCACTGGAGCACATTTGCGTTGTCGAATTGGCCAATTGGTAAAGATAACAAAACCAGGTGTGGATTGTTGAATTTGATAGGTGTGTGACATTATAAAAGCAGTGTGTGTGTGTGTTTACATAATGAAATTGCTTATCACAGTCCTGTTGATTTGGTTATTTCATGGGAGAGGAGGGTGTTGTAATCGGGCCAAATTCTGTTTTAACCCATCATTCCTATTCAAACAATTTCGATTCCACATTGGTATTGGAGTGCTTCTGATATCAGACATTATTTGTGATTCATGAAATTTTACTGGACTATTTCAGTATTGTCAGAATCAATTTTGTGACCCAATTCTAGTGTGTTTAGACCTTTGACTAGCTGATGATTTTTCAAGCTTTTCTAGCTCAAATGGATTTCACGGCGATCAAACAGATATGGCTCTACGGTGTTCATTCCTTCGGATCACCTTGATTTCTCTCTGGCGATGTTTGTCCGATGTATATCGCATCACATTCTAAGCATTTGATTTTTGTAGACACAGTTATATACAGAATCGTTAGGAATTCGGTCTTTTGGTGGAATTTCTGATGTCGAGCTCATTGAGTACTCTCCTTATATCGTATAACGTCTCCGCTCTATATGGAATGACGATTGTTGAGGTCCACGTTTTCGGAATGCGTTGTCGACCATACTCAATGTCAGTGTTAATTTTGTTAGTGGAGTTAGTTGGGTAGGTGTTTTGCTTGAGAGTTTCAGTAATGTTTGGTATTTCTTCTTTTTCTTTCTCATCCATTAACATCATATAGTGTGCTCGTCTACGAAGACGTTAAACAAATTAAACCTTTGCGCTGATAGGGTGTGATGATTTGAAGTTTAAATATTTATTGGAGTGGGTTTTCTTCCTAAATATGGATATATTAAAATGTCCGTTTTCCTTTCTCTTCACTAGGCAGCCAGTTTAGAAATGGTATTTCACCGACGTCTGATTCTGCCTGATTCCAAAGTGAATTGGATTTTGGGAGATACACAGTTTATTTTCTCCAGGAATCAACTGTGTAGATCTCGTTTTAGCACTAGAAAAGTATCATCCACTTATCTTAACCATATTTTAGGAGTGAGTATGCTTGAAAAGATATTATTTTCGAATTTATTCATGTAAAGATCGGCGACTATTGGGGAGACTGGTGAACCCATAGCAACATCGTTTGTCTGTCTATATAAACTCCCTTTAAATGTAAAATAATTACTTTCTAGACAGAATTTCACGCTCTTAATTATTTCACTTGTGTCCAGTGGACATCTTTGTGGTAGTGTTGTATCTGATTCTAGTAGACTGGAAATGATATCAAGACTTTCGGTAATAGAGGTATTAGTATCATAGCTTACCATAATGTCTTCTTTATCAGTTTTGTCAGAAAAGTATACACTACAAATGCATGATAAGATCAGGTAATCTTTCATCCTAGAGTAAATTTATTTGATAGATCCACAAAGTGTAACAGTATAATTTGGAACAACACATACAAGCAGACAATATTGTGCTTTCAATTAAATGTTCTTAGGACTTAATTCTAACATACATAGATTTTAACCAATAACTGTGATTTTGTGGATCGAATAAGAATGATAATAATCATAATATTCTATAGTTTGCTTTGTAAGGGTTAGTTGTGTTTTTACGAGTTGATCACCGATTGATATCAGTCAGAGAACCATTGAAAATCAGGGAGTACAGGACAGCTATTTTATCCCACTAGTTTGGGAATCATCCACAGTACACAGCCCACGACCTTTCGGTGACGAGAAAGCAAGCTCGTATACCATTCAGCCACTGGGACCCGACTCTTCACTGGCCATTCAATGATTCAGCGCGACCCCAATCAATGTCGTCGGCGGAACATCCATCCTCACATACGACATCTGGACGGACCACACTGATCATGACTTCTCACTAGAAATGACTCCAGGAAACTCCGTCGTGTAGCAAGTCACTCACTAGCGAGAATCAGATTAACATTCTATAATTTGGTTTGTAAGGGTTAGTTTCGTTTTTACAAGTTGATCACGGAGAAGTCGTGACCATTGAGGTCAATCTCTATGTCAAGTATGAGGATGAATGTCCCACCGGCGGCACTGCTTAGGATCGCACTAAATCACGAATTGGTATAAGTTAGAATTCATGGAATGGCCATTGAAGAGTCAGGTCCCTGTGGCTGAGTAGTATACGAGCTTGCTTGCTTGTCACCGGAAGGTCGTGGGTTCAAACCTTGCTGGTGGGTGTGTACTAGTGGTAGCTATCCAGTACTCCATTGCTGGTTTTCCAATGGTTCTTTAACTGATATCAATCCGTGATCAACTCGTAAAAACAATAATAATAATGTGGTAAATGTTTTGAACATAGTTAATAACGATGATTATAATGATAAAAAAAATTATGATAATAAGGTTTATGCAGGTGGCGACAGGAATAACAAAGGTAGTAATATGTGTGTATATGTAGACAATTCAATAAATAAATTAGGTCAAATCTTAAAAGTTATGTAATACTAAGGATAAAGTGAACAAATAATCAAAGATTAAATAAATAAATCATAAAAGTACGAAGGAAGTGGGAAATAAGAAAGGGTGGGAGGGTTTTGAACAGAATTCTCCTTACAAATCTACTAGGATAACTAACCCATTTAGACCAGCGTATTTTGGATGTATCGTAACTTCTTTCTCTGGGGAGTTATCTGCTCTATTTTTGAGTCAACTGTCCAAATTGACTTTGTCAGATACGTACAGAACAAATTCAGTATAAACCAATCACAGGGATTTTTTAGTAAGTAGATAAGATTGTGCGTCGGTGGCACAGTGGTTAGGACTCTCGCCGACCATGCACATGGTCCGGGGTTCAAGCCCACGCCGGCGCACACCTGATATCTATGGTTGGCCTGCAAAATTTGGGCTACCGATATCCATGCTGAAAATTCCATACTTGTACCAAAAATACAGTGTGGAATCAAGCTGTAAATCAAAAAATAATAATAATAATAATAATAATGGAGCTATCAATAAAAAGGATGAAAAAGTGAGGCGATCTGTGATAAAAAGAATGATGAAAAACAGCATGATTAAAGAAACAAATGTTCAGCCAGACATAGTAGTCGATAAAGGCTAAGAAAAACAAATAAACCGACTGAGTAATGCTAGATTGTAAGAGGAGTAAATGAAAGATGTTTTAATGAAGATGTGATAAGATTAAGGGATGATAAGACAGGGGTTGAAAATATAAGTAAGGGGTGGTTGAGAAGTCATTAATTGGTTATATGTTCATGGACCAAGGGAGGGATAATGGCTGTACGAACCTCTTCTGAATGCATAGTTTAAGTTTAATAGTTCGAATGCCTATCGCCTCAGCTGTGTGCGTGCAGTAGACGAATACGAAGTCTATTGGAAAATTCGGTGGGATGCGCAATAAGTTATCTTGATAGCTTTTTTCCTTTACTATATGATTGCTATCAATTAAATGTGACAAAATTGATTAACGGATTGCTTTTTGTCTGTCCTTTGTCAAAACACGATGGGAGATGTTCAGCAACAAATATATATATATCCTTTGTTGTTTGTTGCAATTTTCTGCATCTCCGGTATAGGAGTTGAGTCAGTCGATTGTACTTGTGCGGTGTTGATTCAATGAACAAAGACTGGGTGACTAAACTCTCTCTCTCTCCACCTAAGTATATTACTTTTTAATACTCTCATTCTGTTCCACTCTGTTTTGCAAATAAAATGCAATGCAGTGACTAAGCTTTCTTCTGAGTTAGTTATTTTAACTTGGCAGGGTCGATCACTCTACGTCTACCTAAATTCCTAAGTGTTCCGGTAATCTGACTGACTCCGATCATCTACTAGTCTGGCCTATGTAATTGACCTCTCTTTCGGTCATTACATGCTATTTGATAAATTATATTGATCCTCTTAATTGAATCCATCGGGTCCTTAAGCCAACATTCTCATTAAAGAAAACCAACAGAATTATTTCATTCCTTCAGTCATTATATTCAAAGCTTTATGACGGTTATGAAGTGCAGATAAAAGTAAATATGACATATTCAAAGTTTATTCACTTAGAAACTCTTTCATTCTTCAAGTGTTAGTTTATTCGGGAATTGATCATGGATTGATGTCAGTTAAGGAGTCACTGAACATGAGGTATTACAGGAGATTTGTTCTGTTCTAGTTTGGGACTCTTTAACAGCACGCACCTGTGATCCCACCGTAGATCAAACTCGGGACCTTAGGGTTACGATGACAGGTCGTGGGCCACTCACTGGTTAGTTGTGGTACTAAAAATCGTGAAACTAATGGGAGTTGGAGTTCATGGGCCATGACTGAATGACCAACAAGTTCATCTCGTAATCTTAAAAGTCCTGAGTTCCACCCCCCCCAATGGCGTCATGAGTGTGTAGGAGAAAAAAGCTATCCTGTAATACCCCTTGGTTTCTGAATGTTTCTCTTACTTATATATTAATCTGTGATCAAACTTAAAAACCTTCCAGTGTCTACTAGACAGTGTCTAGACGGAGAATAAAGTTCAGAGTTAAGGATGCCAAATCAATTCTCAGAAACAGTTGTGCTAAACCTTTTGTGAGAGAATCATCTAAACTATGCGAATTAAGCCATTCTGTTGCCTTGATTATTTGTTGTCATAAGAAATCTTTCTTCTTTTTGTGTAGAGTAGTGTGGCTCTGGCTTGTTCAATAAATTGTTTGGATTGTAGACGAATTTTTGGAATGTAGTTTATC